TATCTTTGGAATATTATTATTTGGTTAAAGAAGAAATATTCGTCCCTTAGTGTTCATTCAAAGTTTCCACTAGAGATTTTTTGTAATTAAATATAAATGCACCTCGAGTAACTCTCTTATTACGGCGTTGCGCGCAAACTTTTAGGAAATGAAAACGCATCGATATATATTTCTCCGGTAAAAACAGAAATGGTTACACACCCCTGGCAACTTTATGTGCTTTAAATTCGTCCACGTAAACCTTTTCTTTCTCTAGCTTTATGGAACGGCAATACACGCTTCTGATGCACAACTCTCCAGGGAAATCAGAAAGGTTATCAAACTTGAAGGGATATAAAATCGGTTAAGAATTCACATCGGTCGCCTAGTGACCGTACACTCCGCGTTATAAAATTTCTATCGGAAAAAACTAAATGCATATAAATAGAACATATACATACAACACAGAAAATAGGAAGCCCCATGAGGAAGTTTCCCGGATACGATCGAATTATATACTAGAGCAAACATTTGAGTTATCTATCAAATTGTATCTTCAATAGTACGTTTAGCATTTTATGTTTTGCGACAATTTTAATAGCGCATTCTAGAGATTAAATACGTTCAAAAACTTTAATGCTCATTTAAATAAAAACTTTATCCTATAAAATTTAACACGATAGTTTCTTAAGTTATAAACGATCAAAGTTGGCCAATAACGCGTAGTGTAGTACGCTCGTAATCGTGTTTACTCACGTGCTATGTGTACCTAATTTATCATCGTGCTATTGATTTTTATGTCGCGAGTTTGATTTTGGTGGCTCAGCTTATTTTTCCATTTGAATTCTTATGTATCATACAACATTGTTTACAATACACAGCTAATATTCTGACAAATTAATTACTCATAATATATTTTAATTATTGTAGGCAAACATTACTTTACATCATATAATTTGTCGAAATTGCTTTAATTATGAATCTCTAATAATAAAAGAATAAATAAACTACCCAAAATTAGGCCAAAATCAATTAAGAACAAGTACGATTAATAGTCATTAACGTATTTTTATCTTCAATCGCTTGATTGGAATATGCAATACGATTGTTAAATTGCCGTCAAACGTTTTATTTTATACTTGTAATAATACTATGTTTATTGAGAAAATTCTTGAATATTTCTTCCTCGTACCAGTTCATTTAACATTTAATCCTGAAATATCTGGACGAAGGCCAAGCGAAAACTTCAAGTTCCATAAAAAGAAAATTTAGAAAGTGAAAAGGCGGGAAATATAAAGTAACGCGTTTCTGAACCTTAGCGATTCTGCTTTACACGTTATTCTGTAAATATTAATTTGTATCTAGAAAACTACTTTTCTCTTACAAAAATTGACATCATTATTTATGATTTTTTTTTTATCGAATTTACTCTGCCTGTAAAATATTTTCTATCGTTTCTATTTAAGTTTGTGACTATGTATCTACCCTATAAATTTGAGGCAGCTGATTTATTTCATAATTAGCATTCCGGCGTAATAAGACATCAAAGTGTTGATAAATGATGCACGATATAGCAAGCTACACTTTACGAGTTTTCGTGAAATTCCATCTTTTGTAAGTATACATATTTTCTACATATGCATAATAAATCGATACGAGTAATGCATCCAGGATTAAGCATTTATTGCATTAACTTAATCCATTCTAAACCATCCATTTTAGCAGGCAAATGGTTTATGAAATATTATCTATGTTATTATCCTATGTTATTATATAACACATACCATTAGTTTACTATAAACAGAAAAATATATACGTTTTCATATTAAAATCGTTGATTTTAATATGAATTTTCTATACACAAGTCGAGATGCAATCATGAGAAGATCGGGAGATGTAAAATGCGATTATTTCTTACTATTCCTACAATTAGCAATAATCGATTTAAATGATTAATTATTTAATGCCATATTAATAATGAAGAGATCGTATAATGGGATAAAATACCTCGCGTATTATCATCTACTAACACAGGTGAACATTTCCCTTTATAACTGACACTATTAAATGCAAATATGTAACTGCTGCAAAATGTTTTAATTAAAGTCAAGTAAAACTTATGACTGAATCTGTATGTTTAAAACTCAGTTTGTTAGAATTATTGTAAGTCATCGGTACTTCCTGCGGCAAGACGAGCTTAATTCGAAAGTATATTCTCCTGATATTCCACGCAGCTCAGTGAAGTTTCAGCGAACGCTTAACGCAGTTTATGAAGTTCCCCCAGCGTCGAGCGTGCCGAGCAGCGATTAGTCGCGAAAACTTTTCTTTAGATTGAAAAAGCACAGTCCCCAAAGTTCGAAATCAATTGGAACTCTCCGTTATTCGGGCAAAATTACATTGGTCGATTGACTGCCCGGGGAGGTCTTATCGAGTCAAAAATCCACGAGGGAACTTTCACAAGTGAACACAGAAACTCCGTTTCCCTTCATCTGCGGTTTCGATCGCGTGTCAAATTTTGGTTTTCCAATGTGGCTCTAGCGTAGAGTAAACTCGGCTCACCGACGCTATTGATTTTGTGAGGGACATGGAGGAGGTCAGAAAGAGTGAGATGAAGAGAGAGAGAGAGAGAGGGGGGGGGGGAGCATGTGTGTATGTACGTATCGGAGAAAATCGAGGGTAGGTGAGGTCAACCCCTCATTCAGGTAAGTTTTTGCCTGATGGATGAAAGGTATATGTGATCTTTTCCGGATTTATATTCAGGGTTATCCTTGAACACACTGCCCTAAGCCACTCTTGTAACGGGTAAAAATCGATATGAGCTTTATGCTAAAATAGTCAATATATCGTTCGAAGCTCACATTATTGAACGAAGATAAGTAGTTTTTAACATTGGGCAAAGGTCTCTATCGGTTCAATATCCCGTACTTTATTATATGTCACCGTGCACATTGTAGTTTTTATATTTTATATTGTTCCGTTGAAATAGACCTGTTCTAAACCGCTTATCACACGAACAAGAGTATATATGAATATATACGCTTATCGCTCGCTAAAAACCACGTCTATTAGATTATACATTTCACAACTAATTTCTCGCAAGTTATTAAACTATTAAGAAAATTTATTAAAATTGTAGGGACGAATTAAATTATTAAAATAGTGAGTGAAAAAATTTCTTTTAATAGGAAACCCAGCTCACCGGGAAATCTTGATTCGGTAAAAATTTAGGACGCGTCTTAACATGAAAAGTCTAGTTTTCTTCCAATAATTATTTAAAGTTGGATAAACAAGTTAAATTGGGGTATTATAAAACTTTGATAATTCTCCCTTCCCTAATTTACTCATAAATTATTTCTAACAGTTTTTTTACAACTTTTATGCTCTGAAACGAACTCTCTATAAACTTGATTAAATATGAAAACTATTGCGCATCGAATTAAAGTGATAAAATACACATCGTGCTAACCTGAATAATACTCGTAAGTGTGAATAATTTTATACAGAATTCAGCTACCACGCCTGGCCAAGTTTTTTTTCTACATTGTAGTTTAATACTTAAGATTTGATATTTGTATTCTACGCGAGATTTTTATATTAAGTATTAAATGTTCCAACACGTATTATATTTGTGTAAGAATTTCTTACTGCGGTGCGCGAATCAAGATATCTGAAGTTGACGCATATAGGAGCACTGCAAAAATAGCTTGCTGAATACCGTATTGCTCTTGTGCATGCTTTCATGTATCTCGAAGTTTAACATCAAAATGCTCACCTACGCGGCCCGTGTAACCTTCTCGTTTTTATCATAAACCGCATCGCATTTCATACACTGTTTTTATTGCTAGCTTGTATAATAACGGTAATAATATACAATAACACTATTATTTAGAAACAAAATTTTACATCTAGAGATGTATTTTTATGCCTGCATGACGTGTCCACACACGTCGAAAAAAGGATTTCTCATTTAACAATAAATGTAAAATATTCTATCACCAAAGTATTTTAAGTATTTTAATATGAAAATATCATTTTATTTTATCACCTTTGCCGTAATATATTTTTTATTCCTCTGTTTTATATGTCATATATAACATGAAAATGATAACGAAATATAAATTTTATTTTAAAACGAAGATGTGTTAATAAAGCAAGGCGACCTCGACCGGTGTATCAATGGCAAAGATAGCTAATAGATATACAGACATGTTAGTATTGAGAACCGTGATTTATAGGGGATATCGAAAGCTGTAATCGCATGCTATGACAAATCTCATGAATGATTTGCAGCAATCTGCCGACAGAATCTGCCCGCGTTGGAATCTGTCCAAAATTGATGGTGCGTTTTCGCCGAAAATGTAATGCGTGCGTTTACGCAACGAACAACGATTGCTAGGCGTATCCCGTATATCACTCAGCTAGACATGATTTAACGGTTACGAAGATAATGTATGTGCACGACGACGCAAGAGAGAATAATTGGCCAGGTAAACGAGATTAGAGGTCCCACTAAATCCTTTAGCACAATTAATGAATACATATTTTTGACGCAACCCCCCAAACACAGATGGAAATAATCGCGGAAGTAGGAGCGCTGTCTCACAATCGCTTAGCGTTAAGCCGCATCGTGTAATAAAACTTTTTGCGGCATAATTGCACGGTTGTATATTTTATAATTGCAAATATAAATTCTTCGCAACTGCAGCTGTATCTCATCGCAATGATAGGTTACCAAGTCTTAGGAAACATGATGACAAATGAATTAACCTACATTTTGGTGGACAGATAAAATTCGCTCCACAATCGAATATTTCGAGGACGTCGTTAAATCTTTAGTGGGACGGTCAGAAAGCGCATGGAGAACGAAAATAATTCAAATAAAAATCTGTCAAAGCGTACTACCAGCCAAAAAGATGCAACGGAAACAGAACGTCGCTCTCCCGTAGAATCAAAGATTCTTGATAATTGAAACATTGGGAGAGGAAGAAAGATCTTGGGCAAATTCTTTTCGAAAAGTAGCAATGACGGAGAATAATGGAATATTAAAAGAGGCGACCGCGTCGAAATACTTTTCTAAAAGAGTCGACGACACCGAGCAACGTGATAAATCAGTTCGAGAACGTAAGGAAAATATTGTTACAAAAATAACCATTGCCGGTGAGCTTAACGAGACGCTTTTAGAAGAATCCCCGTCCGGTGGATCGAGACGCGAGATTAAAAATCCGATAAAAATTGGCGATATGGCGACAACCGATAAGCATCGATGTCAACGTCCTCTCCGCGACATAATCGGCAAACGGGAGCAGCGTAGAGAAGAATTGGACAAGATGGAGGGAGATTTGCGACAACGCCTCGACATGCTTGAGTGTTCCATACCGGCGGTGATGATATGGAATATCTGGAGGACGTCGCAAGGCTCGCCCGTCTGCAGGCTGAAACGTATCCTGGAGAAACAATTTAAAGACACGAGGGAACTCGCTTGTCGCAGCACACCGAGCTGCCATTACGATTGCAGGATACGAGAAGTCGAGGCGGAAAGGAAGCTGGCGTTGAAAAAAGTGGAGGAAGCTCGAACTCTCTGGTCGGAGAAATTCGCGACGTTGGAAGAAAGAAAAAGGAAACTTGACGAAGCCAGGAGAATTCAGGAGGAGCAAAAAAACGCGGTAGAACGGTTAAACGAGGAAACTAGAGTGCTGCGGGAGACGATGAAGAAAAAAGCGATGGAAATGGACGAATTGTGTCAGTGTGATGACACGCAGTGTAAGCAGAGACACCTCAGTAAAGTATCCAGCACGATGTCCCTCGAGTCCGGAGACATCGAATGCCTGGAGAAGCTACAACGATTAGCGGAGGAGGAGGTGATCGCGAAGCGGGAGATTCTCGAGTTGGAACGCCGCGAGGAAGCTTACATGAGGACACTTCAGCAGACGGACGAGTTGTGGTCGAAGATGGAGGGCGACACGATCAGCGCGGCGAGCGGGTTGCAAGAACAATTGGACATGAAAATTGCGGCCAATCAACAACTGGCGAATCGCGTATGCGAACTGGAAGACGCGCTCGAGAAATGCCGGGCAAGGCTGGCCGCGTGCAGAGCGGAACTGGAGAAGTTTCGGAGTATCGAGAAAGTTGATGCTACGATAGGTCGCGACGATGACGTCGCCAAAGTGGCAGATAAGGAAGTCGCGGTAAGGGCTAAAGTCGTGCATCGACCAATCGGTAGAGCAGACGACGTAGCCACGGTGAAGGACGACCAAGTTCTGGCGAGGGTCGAAGTTGCGGATGGGGAGGCGTTAGCGAGAGTTGAAGTTGTGGACGGGGAAGCAGAGGCGAGAATCGTCCTGACTGACGCCGACGCAGAAACTGCTCTTATCGGGGACGACAAGTCCGTCTCGGTTAGACCCGACATGGCTGATCTCGCTGTCGATCGTCCGGTAGATCTCGTGCGAATCGAGGACGCGGGAATTGTAGTTCGACCGGAAGATCTCGCTTACGAGCAACAGAGATTCAAAGAAGTTCGAGAATACTTGTCTAAATTGGACTCCTTAAAAGAGTTGTATAAAGACGATGGTAAGCCGTGTGCGCCTGATTTCGTATGCAACGATGTAGTGACGTCGCCCACCGGTATGACGGACGAGGAACTGATTGCATTGGGCGTGGTAGAATATACTGTACCGACGAGGAAACCTGATGAAACTGTAAGTGACCGGGAACGAGACAAGCAATTACAAAAAGAATTGGCAAGAAAAGCACTCGATGTCGTTAAGGATGTTGAGAAAAAAGAAGAGAGAGAGGATGATACTCCCGGCGTCAAAATCGAGAGGGAAGTTGTCGAGAAAATGGAAAAACGGGTCGCTGAAATTGTGGACGTGCCCGTTAGAGAGACTGTAACACCCCGGACAATCGAAGAAGAAGTTGTGGATGATAGGCCGGTAACAATGCCGAGAGACCGAGCGCCGGAAGTAAACAAAATCGAGGCCGATCGGGGAATCGTGATACAACGGGATACGATCCTATCGTGGATCGATGCAATCGATACAATTCGCACGACAGCAGCGGTATACAATTCGTATTATAATTAAAATTAAAGAAATATTGCAATTATATAAATATACAGAAACCGTCTTAATATTTCAGCCGATATTAGAACAAGTTTAACGTAATATTATATGCAACATATGCGGAATATTAATATGTTTCTGTTCCGCATTTTTAGAGGCATCCTGACTGTCGTGAAGTAAAAAAGGATGCTGACATCTTGGCAGAACAAGTTAGCACGTATGTCGGGGTAAGAAATTAATGATATTTCAATTTATGGCTCATAAATAATGGCCACTGCAACGATATAAATAATACCTTTCAATTCTCATTGAATAATGACTAAGAAAATTTGTAAGAATAAAGAAACGCGTTTAACTTAATTAATCGTAATATCTTCGGATAAAAATATATTATTATAGCTCTAATTATATTCTATCAGGTAAAACCTAAAGAAGTGGCAGAGGAAAACGCAGCACTAATTACAGAAGGTAAGCGGGAAAAGGTGATTGAGAAGAACGAAATAAAAGCGAAGCGAAATAAAAATGAACACCCAATAAATGAAACTAAGCTACAAGACAAATTAATAATTTTGAAGGCTGAAGAGATGGAACCTGTGAGAAAAATTGAATCCGTACCGGTTCCTAACTCTGAAGAAACGTCGGTAGAAGTGAACGCTCCAATGGAAGTAACAGCTGAATCAGAATTACAGCCTACACTTACAAAAGAGGAAGTACCAATTGGCATGGAACCTCCTATGGCGGTTTCAATGGAAAATTCTTTTCGGTCTCCTACAATTCACAAAGAAGATTTAAAAGACGACACGGTCCCGTTAGCTGTACCGGAACCGTATAAACCAGATATCGAAAAAATGAGAACTGAAGAAATAATACGAATCAAAGACATCGTGCAGAACACAAAAGAAAATGAAATACCTAAAAATAAGAATGCAGAGAGACATGCAACGGTCGAAGATCTGACAAATAATAAACTAGCGGTAAATTCAGTGGCAAATAGTAAAACGATAAATTCGGATAAAGAAACGTTAGTTGTTCCACAAATAGAAAAGAAAGAACAAGAAATTAAAACATCTAATCATATAGAAAGAAATGAAAAGGAAACAGACAAATCAAGAGAAGTGATGCGGGGAGAAATAACAGTAGAAAATGAAAAAACCGATAAAGTGTTAGCAGTGACAGAAATTGAGGAAAATGAATTTGTAGAAGAGATCGTAGAAAAGACGAAGGAAATGCCACAACTGGTTGAAACTAAAAAGACAGATATAAAAGAAACGCCACATATGGAAATGATAAGAACAAATGAAATTGTACAAGCTCCTCCGGTTTCAGAAATGAAAGAGGTGGAACAAGAGATACTAGCAATAAATGCGACAGAAGAAAAGGAAATTATACCACGGGCAATTTCACCGACCGTGGATATAATCGAGGTAGGAAAATTTGAACCCAACAAATCTACTGTGGATGTTGAGAAAGATTCAACTGCAAATTCAGTAGAACAAAAAATTAAAATTCAAGAACCTACACCTACTTTGGACGTAAAAGAAGAATCATTACTTCCTGAAACCGAAGTTGAAGAAATTGGAGAACCCGTGCCAATAAAGGAAGAGATTAAAGCCGTAGAATCGCCATTGGTAACGGATACAGCGAAAGGAAACAAAATTGAAGTCACAGAATTGTCACTCGAGGACTTAGAAAAAAAAGAAAAAATTGAAGCAGAAGAATTATTGCCAGTAGTAACAGAAGAAAGTATTGATATAATTCAACCAACACCAATATTACCAACAATAAAAAGAGAAATGGAACAGGAGATCGAAGCAGCGGAAGAACCTGTGCTCAAAGTAGAAAAGGAGAAAGATGAAGAAATAGAAGAAGGAGTTACATCTATTAAGTTACCTGAAAAGAAGGAAGTACCTCCAGTAGAAAAAAAGAAAATAATAACGAGAATCCCGCCGTCCGAGGAACCAACACTAAGGCACGAAAAAGAAGTGCCAGTAGAAGAGAAAAAGGCAGAAGTGGTCCAGATGGAATCAAAAATTACAATTGCTGAGATAAAGTCGACCGAAATGGAAATGCCAGCGATACCACTCGATCCACAATTAGTGGCGCAGTATCTAATTATAGCGAAGTTCAAAGAGAAAGAACTATTGCAGCTTATACCCGCAAAGAAACCCTGCGCGGAATGTTGCTTGGTTAGTAAATGTTATTCACTTTAATTGCCATTCTCATTAACAGTTAACGGTCTCGCGACAAATGTAATTGAATATCTTTTCGAGAAACAATAATATGGGTTTCGGTGTATCACGGAATGCCCTATATTATTCGTAGTTCCCTATCTTATTCTGATATACACGCTATGTATTGATAACGACATTCTGAAAGCATGACTCCTTCACTTGCAGCAACCGCTGATTGAGACCGCGGGACCGCTCGACATTCCGCAGACTGATGTTCTCCAAACCGAAATCGTACAAGCCGAAGTCGTAGAAACCAAAACGACGCAAGCCAAGCTCGTGCAAAACGAGGTCGTGCAAGCCGAAATCGTACAAACCAAGGCCGTCGAAACTGAGCTCGTACAAATAATCACGCAGGCAGTTTCGACCGCTGATGCGCCGCCGATACAAATTATTAGTGAATATTTAAAACCAGTCGAGCTAAAAGCATCGAGGACTGAAATCGCCGGCGACCGTCCTGAAATAACCGGCCGAAAAATGCTCTGGCGCAAACGCTTAAAGGACCAATCGACCGTCACGACCGCCAGCACCGGATCACAGACGGATAAAACAAGCCACGTTAGCCACGACCGAGTTGTAAGAGATGAAAGAGAACGCGCGAGAGTGCCCACGGATGAACTTTTACGATCTATAAAGATCGCCGCCGCCGGGCTAGTGCGACCGAACACAGAACGCGAGATTAGGACGATTAATTATGGTGGAAGGTCTGAGGAAGTGGGCAGGGTCGCCTGTAACTGTTGCTTGTGCGGTAGAACTCCGACTCCCCCGTCGACAGGACCTAGATTAGAGATTCAACCGCAGATTGATGCGAAAACTGCAACGCCTCCAGCGGTAGCTGCGTTCAAGCGTATGTTTATTCGTCCTAAAATCGATCACCCGATGCCGCGTGATAGATTGTGTCCCGATTGCAAGGCGAAAATTTGGGGCAGGATGCCGCGCGAGAGGGATTACGTCGAGAAAATTATCAGCAAGATTTCTCGCGACCAGGGGAGCTGCGGTTGTGCGTCATCAATCGGTAAATCGCGCCGCGCGGTGCCCCATAAGAGAGCGATCGAGAAAAGGGATCAGGCCTGCTTGGCTAAAATACCTAAGCGGAAGACTAACCCCGCCGAACAAAAAAGGAAAGATGATATGCAATCAATTCTGGAGGACTCGGAAAAATTGGCCGTGCAGCCATTGTCTCCCAGTTGCATCTGCTTCAAATTAGAAAGGACTGGCGTGGAACCAATTAGAAAAGGCAATTGTTATTGCGCGGATTAAATGCACGTATGGTAATTATCATTATTCTATTCAATCAATCGTGCGACAATATGTACTGTTTGTTCAATTAAATATTTTGAATTAATATTGTTACGTTCATTGCTAATAATTTTGATCCATTTAATAATATAATATTAAGATGATAAGCTGCGAAAAATACGTGCAATTAAAATGAGCTGGAAAATGCTATAAAACATTATGACACTGATAAGATAACGAGGCAAAAAAAGTTTGAAAGAGTGGACTAGCCAGCGGAGTCATGAATAAAATGTGAAAAATGTGAAAAATGTTTACGTGAGTAGCGAATTCCCATGTTAGATTTCTCACTGAGACAACGGTGGTAATAAATGATAAAAAAAGATGACAGACTAGATCATATGTAGCATGCAATTTTCGATAATACGATCTTTACAATGATATATACGTGAGCAATTCCATTATATGAATAAACGCTTTCCCCGTACTTTTAATTCATTCATTGCACCGCGTAGCGCAACGATAAAATCAAATATAGAACTCGTATTCAAATGTTTTTTACACATGTGTGTACGTACGTGTATGTACATATAATATATTAAATGTATCGTTTTGATTCAAAGTACATAATCAATTTAAATGAACGTTTCATTTCAATCTATATTTTAAAAAATTTCAAAAAGTTTCTTCGTGCAATCGAACTATTGTGCAATCAACAATTCAACGTGGTTTTATATGCAGAATCTCCTCGATCGCCACGTTTCGCAATAAACAATTTCAATCGCGGCGATAGAAATCGAACATGGCACACAACTCTACCCGCCTAAAGGGTGTCTAAAGGACATGTAAAAAATGTAGTATGCCTTTCAGACATCCGTGCGACATCTCCTAAACGTTGTTGCTGCCTGCGAGTTATTGATCGACGCTCCATTCGCGTCGTTCGTCACAATGGCTAAAATCGAGACACTCACCGAACGTTGGCCAAAGTGTGCCTGCGGGATCGCAGGTTGTGGTATCCACGTAGCTCGCCGATGCTGCCCTGCTCGGCCTGCATCCTAGCCTGAGCCGTCGCGGCGGCAGTAGCGATCACGTGGTGCTGGTGCCCTCCGGGGGCTCCCGCCGTCGTGACGCTCCTACGGGAACGCCAGCCCGACCTGCTGCCGCTCGGCGTGGGCGATTTTTTAGGTTGATACGGTCTGAAAATGGCGTCGGAAACGTACGTTGGCATACCAACGTGCTAATCGTGTCGAACGGGGCAGACCGCGTGTATATGCCGCGTTTACTAATTAAGAGCATATTAAATTACCGTGTCTGTGCAGAATCGACCGAATAGACTCATTTCTTCGTGAAAGCACTTCGAGCGCCTTAACACGTCACGACAATCTGTTGCTGCGTTAGAAGAAATCTCGCCCTTTTTCTGTCCGCCACCCCTTGACTTATACCCTTCTCCTTTCGCGCTTTACTCTCTTTTTCTTTCTTTCGCCTCGCCTCTCTGTTCACCCAAAAACTTCAACGCACTGAAGGATTCCCTTCGTGTGGATCTGCGCGAAAGAAATATCGGCTCTCTTGGCCAAAGGTCTATCGTTCAAATATAATGAGACAGAAATGTGACGTCCCATATAAAAGGGAGATATATTACTTGTAATATATGCCAGAATATACTATTTATAGATTTTATCTTATCTATATGGATACGTTCATGAGCCACGCCGTAATACCTAAATTCATTATGCCCGTATTACAGAATTAATACAGTGACGACGAACGGCCGACCTTTCCGGCGCATTCCCTCTCTTTCTCCCCCCCCCCTCTCTAGACAATTTCTAAATTAATTACAACGATTAACCAGCTCGGGTCATCGTATCAGGCAGAACAGCTAAGAGCCTGGATCAATATCGCGCGTTATAAGTCCATGATTACGGCATATTCATTATCTATTCCATTTATCACACGAGACAATAGAGCGTTAAATAGATTTCTCAGATCGTCAAAGCTTTTAAGCCGCCGATGATGGATTTCAGACATGATTGCCAAGCGTATTATAATACTTTAGCGTGACGTGACGTTTGTCATAACCATCGCGAGATTTCTACTTCTCCGGCACCGGTAACCGGATGTGCCAGGGAAATGGGCCACGACAGAGGTAGCTACACTTCTGGACCCGAGAGACTGCAAACGTGTTGTCGCAAAGGATCTTTCGTGCTCATTTTTCTTTTTTCCCCATTTCTTTCTTATTTGCCCTTGTCGCCGTACGTAATACAATGCGAGAGTAGCTGCGACGAAAGTGAAAAAGACGGTTTTGCATCAGAGTTCTAGCGCCTGGCAAAAGGCTTCTAAAGAAGTGTGAGGAAACGCGATTACAGTCGATTGTATTTCGCACTTGCAACGCACACTTATCCGTTCTAATAACGATCCGGTGACAAGAACGCGAAAGATAATTCAACGAAAATAAATACAAGAACAAAGTGAAACAAACGCGTTGCTGACAGGTACGAGATACGGCATGTACGTATTGGTGTCAAATAACAATTGATTACAAAATAGATGTATAAGCTACATAATCCGTCAGCTTGCAAAATCTACCGTAAGTTAGGCAACAGCGCGGAAAATGGATACCGGCAACATTTCAACGCGTATAATTTTACACTCCAAAATTGTTAGTAAGAAGACATTATATAAAAAGAAGCGTAATAATATGGAGACCGCGTGTACACGGATACGCGGGTAGGAGAATTTGTTACATCAGTTCTAAGCTCTTATTATCGCTGATTAACGAATAATGAATACGAACGACACGATGCAGAAATAAACGCGTCGCGCTCGTCGACAATGAACGCATAGATGTTAGTGGGAATAATAATCGCAAATCAATACAGATTATTCTGCGTATTAATCAGATCGATTCATTCGTTGCAGGGCTTTCCGAGCATTAGCATTCATACATTACTTCCGCAGTTCTCGTCTGTATGCGCTTTGACGCGTAAGGGCTTACGTTCTACGTCGACAGATCCTGAATTATCGCCGGCGGACCAGCTCTGTGGAGCATCCCGATTACGTCAATACCGATGATATACCGCGCATGGTGCTTTTCGCCGGTGCGAGCGAGAACTTGGCGTTTTGATTCGGCCGTGGCTGCATTCGTCAAAATAGCACGTGCGAGCGCGCCGACGTAATCCGCGGGACTCACGATCTGTTACAAATCATCGGCGCCGTTAGATGCAAGTAGATTTCTCGTCGACTGACCGCGATTTTAACGGGACATAGAACATCAACAGGTTGCTTTGTGACGCAGAATAAGTCAGCGATTCGATATCGCGGCGAATGCACATCGAAGCACGTGCGCGAATTTCTGATCAATCGGATCGACTATAACGTAACGTGAGCCAATCTCGCGAACGGAGAAGAAGGGGGAGGGGGGAGAGGAAAATTCGAAATTTCTCGTCCTAATACGATGCCAAAGCCTCTGACTGCATCGTTGCATTACATAGCCAGATCTTTGCACATATGCATGTCTATCGGCACAATGCGCTCATATGTACGCGCCTATAGATCTCCGTAGCCTGCTAACACGCGGAACTGAATTCTCGAATAACGTCGAAGGAAATAGTCACTTTGTACTCCCACTCCCCTCCGCGCTATATCCGCTCATATAGTCGCGTCGCTAAAATTCCGCCTCGACTCCGGCTTCGAATCATACACGTGCAGTCGACGTAACCGAGATGCACAGTGCACTCTCATCTTCGTTTCCATAGGGCCCGCTCTCGTGTTCTAATTATACGAGATTCGCCTCGGAATTAGCTTAGCAGACGGTCTATTTCGCGACGGACAGGATACGATCATTATGGCGTTATAATTCACATCACTCACTCTCTGGCAACGTATCCCGTTCCACATTCTCGAGTCAAAGATAGACAGTATTGCGAATTTAATAAAGTATCAAAGCTCTCGAGCGCGACTTAAAATAGCTCGTGTATTACTTGGTATTCGCGAATCGATAAGATGTGTCTATAAATTAATCCTGGAGCGTTGCTTTATACATGCAATTTCACAAAAAATCAGGACAATCGATATCAAACGGTGCTCACGGATACTCACGTTTCACATTTGAAAAACGATTAAACCGATTGTATTAAACCGATCAATGCGCGAAAAAAATCCGCACCGATCCAGTTTCGCGGTGAACAATAAGAGAATAGCTTTTACTCTTCAAATAGCCTCTCAAAATCATCAAAAACAACAATGCCAACTCAATTATTTCTAGTCACAAATTAGAAACAATTTTTAAAAATTAGAAAAGCGAAGGTAGGTTGACTTAAATTTTTCTATTGTTAAATTTAAAATAAAAATCTGTTTGATTTAAATCCGCGCGGAGTGTTGAAAGAAGAGCGAAATTATCGAGTAACAGCTTGCGATTTTCAAATTGTTTCTGCCTCATTACACCCTTAATTAAGATCTCATAAGTATTCCCTACATTAATTACGTCAGCCGTTTTAGCTTTCTCGGGACAAGTTAATTATTGGTTCGATCATGTTCTCCTCTAAGTAACCTGAGGTAGCTTGCCTGCAGCTATGCCTCAAGTTCGCATTTCCGTCCCATTTCCATTTTCGCAATAATATAGCGCGATAATTACAGTCCTGTCATTTTCTGCGGACGGCATGTACGTAGATAAATAGCACTTTGCTGATTGACACGTCTTTCGCGCCACAATTATAATCACGATGTGTCTTCGATTCTTCACGCATGTATCACTGTAAGCGGGCATGTGTGCGCGTATCGATCATTTCACGTTTAAATCAACTAATCGCTTGATATCCCGTGCGTGCACTTAGACGCTTAACAGTAATGGCCATTAGCGTAAAACCGACGACCGCTCATCATTAATGTTAGGCCGCTATGAATTGCAAGAGGAAAACCACAATCAACCAAAATGCTAAACTATATCGGATTACCAGTTTCTGAATAATATATGATAATCTACGTTCATCTGCGCCTTAGTTTTTTCAACCCGAAAACAGGCGAGCAGT